TGGCTCTCTATCCATCTGGTTCCTATCAGAAAAAGGACAAACTCCCAAATTCACCTTAACATAAGAAGGTAGGGATAAATCTGCTCTAAAAAAAAATAAAGATAAATTATCCTTTCACATCGTAGAACAAGAAATTATTTAACGTGAAACGGTTCACTTCGATCTAGTGGTATAGATCCTGGGTTAAGATCATTTACTTCTTGTGAATTACATATTCGAACCTTACGGAATCTCTTTTCCTATCCCTCAATTAACACATGTAAATAGTTGCAATTTGTTCAAAAAGAAAAAGAAATTATATAATGTAGTGATATTATCACTTATATGTTTTTTGTTAAAAATATTTAAATAATATGTGATTTATTTTTATATATAATTTTAAAAAATAATTTGTCCCTTAAGAGGTGAATTTAAGGGTTCTATCATATATATATATATATAAAAAAAAAGGTAGAGATTTTTTTGAAGAATCTACGATTTGGGGAGGGAGGATTTTTTCCAAGGCGTTATTGGAGTTGAAACTTCGACTAACAAACCTAAACCCTTTAAAGCTTGGGGGCAAATATTGGAATTGAAGGCCTAATTCAAGAAGGTAGAGATTTTAAGTTACTTAAAATTATAAGTTTCCATTAACGAGGTGAGATTATTGTTACATCTCAATAATTAATATCACACATTTTAAACTTAGTTTACTATTATATCTTTACATTATAATTTTGTTTGAAACTTTGTAAATTTTCATTTCTTAAATGAAATAAAGAGTATAATGGTTAGTTAAGATAAAAAAAGTATGGCTTAATAATTGAAGATGCATACTAACATCACCCTAATAATAATGTTACATTAAACAAATATATGCATATTATATCAAGTAAAGTGCTTAAAATAAAAAAATTTACTTATATAATAATAAATTATAATTATAAGTATATAATATAATATTACGTGAAATTATAATTATATTATTTCAATTATATACCATAGAAAAGATATAAAATGTCTCCCATAACTTATACCTTTATTTGCTTTTGAAGGAATTAAGTGAAAGATGTTCATTGTTTGGCACATTCCAATCAAGTGGTTCTTTGCGTTAAAACGAGAACACCTTTTGTTTGAGTTTTAATTCTTCAATAATTACATTCCCGTTCCCCATGTAAAGTTTGGATAATTTGTAATCTGCAAAAAGAAAAAAAATTATTTTCACCGAGACAGTCCAAATGATTACCACAAACCTTTTTAATTTTAAGTATGCAAAGATATTCACCTAGTCAACAGTAAAAAAGAGGCAACCTATGGTTACAATAAGATTGTAATTAAATGACTTTCGTATGATATTAAATAAATAAATAAATATAATATTATAAATAAATTTTTATATAAAATAATAATTATATAATTATATATTATATTATAAATTTATAATTTTATTAACATTGTAATTTAATATATATTTTAAAAATATTAATTATTTAAATAATTTAGTAGTTATTTTTTTCTATTGAAAGTAAGATGTCTTAAGTTTGAATTATATTGCATGCGAATGAAATAAGATAAGGATATGAGATAAGGATACGAGATAAGGATATGAGATAAGGATACGAGATAATTATTTTTCATTATGTAATTAAGATTAAAAATATATATTTCTTTAAAAAATACACTCACTTCTAATCCACGTGTCTTTCAGTGACGAGCCCTCTCCATCACCCACTGTCATTCAATCATCCCTACCAACAATCCCTTCTTAAAACCCCTTCTCTCTTTCCGTGTCTTTCCGTGGTCGCGTCCCATAGAAACTCTTAGCTTCACAATGAGCCTCTCCTCTGTCGCCGTCGATCCCACCCCTTTCGCCACCGCCAAATGGAAGCAGTACGGGCCAGCGCTCCACCGCCGCCCGAACTTCTTAGTTTGCTCTATGAAACCCCCGGCTTCCGCCTCGCTAAGCGTAGCGGAGTCAGCTGCCAGCGGGTTACTGAATCGAATCGGGTCCCTGAGTCAGGTCTCCGGCGTGTTAGGCTCTCAGTGGGGTGATGAAGGCAAAGGCAAACTCGTTGACATCTTGGCTGAGCACTTCGACATCGTCGCTCGATGCCAGGTCCGTTTCTCTGTATTGACTGTGTATATTCATACTGATTATGGAATGTTAATGCTTTGAATTTGATCAGAAAAAGAAAGATTTGATGTTGTGTTAGTGTTTGCAATAGGAACAAAGTATGCTTGATCAGCATTTGCTGCAAATTTGATCGAAAGAGATGGATTTTTCTGTTGCAAGTATGTTTGAAACGTTATAATTTGATTGGTTAAAAAACTTTTCCTTCCCCTCCATTCCCCTCAACCCAAACATAAGTATTTTAATTGAAAGAAGCGAGCTTTCCAGCATGTATTTTGTAATTTTTAGCGCTGAAATTGGTGTATGTTTGTGAGATGTTCGTATAATATGGCTGAGGTTGTTAATTATCTATTTTCAATCTTAAATCATTCTATCTAAGGCTTCAGTGTTTTAAGTTTTAAGTTTATTTTCTCATGTAAATTTTGATCTGTGTTCTTTAGATTGTCAGGTTTAGCCGGTGTAATTCTTAATTTGTGTACCAGTATTCTGTGCTATTTAATTAATCTCATTTAGGACAAACATGCTGAAAGTCAACTGTAATAACATGTTTCTTTGGTTGACTAATCATGTATCGGGTTCAATTCTATGTTTTTTTTTTTTTTTTTCCTTACTGACTATTTTCCTATGCTGTTTAGAGAACCCTAAACTTTTCCTTTCTTTATTGGGTTGGAAGTGGTAATATGGTTTAGTGTTTCTTTCTGAGGCCCAAATGCTTTATATGGAATATATGCTTTTAATTGTGACCTGATTTAATTGTTTCTTGTCAACTACTGGTTGTCAGTTTCCTTATTGTTGGTTCTGAACTCCTTTTGAATTCAGGGTGGAGCCAATGCTGGTCATACAATATATAATGCAGAAGGAAAGAAGTTTGCTCTTCACCTTGTTCCTTCTGGCATACTAAATGAGGACACACTATGTGTTATTGGAAATGGAGTAGTGGTGAATTTACCTAGTTTATTCAATGAAATTGATGGGCTGGAATCTAATGGGGTCTCCTGCAAAGGAAGGATATTGGTATCTGATCGTGCTCATTTACTATTTGATTTTCATCAAGTAATTGATGGATTTAGAGAAGCTGAGCTCGCTAAATCATTTATTGGCACAACTAAAAGAGGAATTGGACCTTGTTATTCAAGCAAGGTTATCAGAAATGGCATTAGAGTAGGTGACTTGAGGCATATGGATACTTTTCCTCAGAAGCTTGATATTTTATTATCTGATGCAGCTGCTAGATTCCCTGGTTTCAAGTACAGCCCTGAGATGCTCAAGGAAGAGGTTGAAAGATACAAAAGATTTGCAGAGAGGTTGGAACCTTTTATTGCTGATACTGTACATGTGATGAACGAGTCAATTGTGCAGAAGAAGAAGATCTTGGTTGAAGGTGGACAGGCAACCATGCTAGACATTGATTTTGGAACCTATCCTTTTGTTACTTCCTCTAGCCCATCTGCTGGTGGGATTTGCACAGGCCTTGGTATTGCTCCTAGAGATGTGGGTGATCTGATTGGAGTTGTAAGTATATATTCTATTTTTATTATTCTTGGTTTGTCTTTGTGATAACTGAGGTAAGTGTTTATTCTATTTTTTTTATTGAAAAAAGGCCTATTAGATGATACCTAGGTTTTGCAGTTTTTTAGGGGAATATCTTAAATACTTTCTTTTAATCTTGTGATACAGTTGATTGCATGGTATGTGGTTTTAAAAAAAGAAAAAATGCCCCATTTGAATAGCTACTTCTTCTATTTCTTGAGGAAGTGTGTTGCTAAGAGAAATTTCTGGGAATTTTATAGCTTGGTTGGCTTGAGGGGAGGGGAGGAGCTTCCCTTTAATTTCCTTTATAGTTTTAGTATAACCAATGGAGGGAAGGGAAGGGGATGGAAATGGAAGGATACTGTCTCCCCTCCCCTGATTTCCCTTAAACCAAACAAGGGATTAAAGAATGCATTTCATTATGATCTGTGTGTATCAAACAATTAAGTTTAGCAATTGTTTTTGAGTGAGTTGAGGGGGAAGGGGGGGAGAGTGAAGTGGAGATCTCTCCTCTCTCTTGTTTGGATAAAATTATTGAGGGGAAGGAGAGGCAGGTAGATGGAGGGGTGACATACTTCCTCCAAATCCATTATTTTTAGTCCCTCTAATTTTAGGGGGATTTGGAGGATTCAATTTACTTCTATTTTATTTTATTTTTTACTATTTTTTTTTCAAAAATGTAATTAAAATCTCTATTTTAGTTTTAATTTTAATATATTAATTTATATAATTTTTATTAATTTTATAATTATTTTTCTTTAAGTTATTTAATTAAATAAAAAAAAATGTAATCTTTCCCTCCCTCTCCTTCCTCTTTTTAATCTATCCAAACAAAATTAATATTATTTACTCTCCTTCCCTTCACTTTCCTTTACTAATTTTTATCTAAACATATCCTAAAAAATTATTTGACTTTCGTTAGTTAGGTTGCTCACTCACACACTTTCCATGCAGGTAAAGGCATACACCACAAGGGTTGGTTCTGGCCCTTTCCCTACAGAAATCTTGGATGAAGGGGGTGACCTCCTTCGGTTTGCTGGGCAGGAGTTTGGTACAACTACTGGTCGTCCTCGACGTTGTGGTTGGCTAGATATAGTTGCACTGAAATACTGCTGCCAGATTAATGGCTTCTCTTCTTTGAATCTTACCAAACTTGATGTCTTGTCAGATTTTTCCGAAATTAAAATTGGGGTTGGTTATAAACAAGCCAATGGTACTCCAGTAAAATCTTTCCCAGCAGATCTTCGTCTTCTTGAGCAATTGAAGGTAAGAAAACTTTTGGAACTTCAAATAATTTGTCTTTTTCCTTCTAGATTTATGGTACTGGTTCATCAGAGTGGGATTGAGATTCTAGTTTTTTAAGATTTATAATGGTGTAAACTTAAGGAAAAAAGGGGAGGTAGCAAACGATGAGGGGAAGAGTGGTAGCGGAACTGGAGTGGCTACCCTTGCTAGAACTGATTGGAAGCCCTTAAAATGTAGGCACCATATTACCAAAAAAATAATTCAAATACTATATTACAGAGTATCGTAAATTTTGCCAACATAAATTTGTATTTAGGATAAACAATCACTGCAAAGCATAGGGTATCATGCTGATGACTAAAATTTTGATTCATGTAGTTAAATGGAATGCCAGTGCTTGGTGCTGAAATTTTAATGCTATACTAATTTTATTTCTTTGATAACATATTAACATTTGATTACAGTTTTAATATTTTCTTCATTTTCTTGTTCATAAACTTCGTTTGCTTCCTATTTCTTCAGGTCGAATATGAAGTTTTGCCTGGATGGAAGTCTGATATTTCTTCTATCAGAAACTATTCTGATCTCCCAAAGGCTGCCCAAAAATATGTCCAGAGGGTAGAGGAACTCGTTGGGGTCCCCGTCCATTACATTGGAGTTGGTCCCGGACGTGATGCTCTAATTTTCAAATGATCTGTCCATTTTGTCAGTTAAGTTTCCTGGTTAATTTTCTTGCACTAGGGTTAAATGGAAACTTTCAAAGCAAGTTGTGGGAACGTCTTTTTCTTATGCATAAAATTGAAGATTACATGAAAATTCATGAAACGTACTCTTTATATGTGTGTTATATGTGTGGATTACCCCATGGTAGGGGTATTTTTATCTTTTAATTTGTATTCTAGAATGAAATATCTTGTGCCTGATGGTATGGATGAACCTTCTTTTGATGAACTAATCAAAATATCGTTTGGATTACAAAATCTATTTCTAATTTAAATTAGACTTCTTCGGGAAACCAACTCTTTGCGATGGCTTCAATCTGTAGGGTTTATTTGTTTTTTAATATAAAAAATATATATATATAATGTATTTAATGTATTTAATAATTATTTTATAAGAAAAGCATATATTAGTCTTGATTTTTTCAAAAAAAGAAACTTCTCATTTTAAATGATACTAATTTATTTAATTGAATTTTAATTTAAAATTTAAAAATTTATTTTATTAAGTATTGATATATGAATTTAAAATTTTATTATATTAAAATATTAAAATATATAATTAATTTTTATATTCAAATACTAAATATAGGAATAAACATTTAGTAACTTTTTAACATAATAGGTTTTTAAATTCAGTTATTAATATTTAATTAAATTTTAATTAAATGAAATGATGTTATTTAATGTTAGAATTTTATTTTATTTTTTAAAATTGAGACTATCTTCAATTGTTTATAAAGATTTCAGTTGGGTAACCAACGGCCTCCATGGACTTTTCAGATCGAGGAAAGTTCTTTCGCACCCATATCCATTTGCATTTTACATGTTTGGAGAAGAATTGTTCGAGGATGATAAGATGGGCAAAAATTTACTTTTAATTTTTT